AAACGAAAGGGACAGGGGTGGATATTGTCACACACTTAACCCATCCATGAAATTCCTCTCACCTGTACCCCTGAACAAGTGGTTTCTTCTGATGATCTCACCCCCCACAAAGGGAACGTGAACCCTCGGTTCGGGGACATCCCTGCAGAAGGCTGGCCCCGTTCCTCAAGATGTACGGCGAGATAAGTCAAGAACTTTGACCGAGCGGTGGAGCTGGTGAGCGCCTGGACCCAGCGCTCGCCCCTGTTCCGGGACGTGGGTGCACAGCATCCAGGTAGGGCCTGCGAGCCCTGGGGGGGCGGGGGGGGGGCTGGTCTCCACGTGGAGGACTCGGGGCCATGGCAGGATGTGTCCAGATGCGCTGTGGACACTTTGATTCACAGACTAACTCCCAGAGACAAATCATCCTTCTTATGTCCCCCGTGGGGACACCGTGGCTCAGAGAGGTGTGCGATCTGTGCTGTGTCCGGCCGCTGTGGACAGACCCGAGCCCGGGGCTGGGGGCCTCGGCGGCTAGCCAGGCAGTTAGGAAGGTGCTACTAAGCGTTTCCTCTCCTGCAAAGTCTGCTCGCATCTGGCTGCTGTTGTCTCCTGCTGTGTCGCCTTTTTTTTGTGGATTCATGAGGTTTCTATGTTAAGAATGTTAACTGCCATCTGTCATATGTGCTACAAATGATTTTTTCCTATTGATTTTTTAAAACTTTTTAGCTTTTTGATGTTTTATATACAAAAGTTTTGGTTTTTAATTAGCCATATTTGCCAATTTTTTAAAATAAAGTAATGCTTTTAAAAGTCTTTAAAGTAATGCTTATAAATGCATTTCTCACCTCCCAATTTTATAGAAATTGTTTTCTTTCAATGTATGGCTTCATTTTAAAAATTAAAAAATGCTATTTCGGAACAATTTCCCGGTGGACTGTGGGATGAGGTAAGAATCTAGTTTTATTTTTGTGAATAGTTAGCTGTTTACCCTAACATCACTAGCGCGCATGCACACACACACACACACACACACACACACTCGCTTTAGTATGTCCTGGAGGGTTAATGGGCCCAGAGACCCTTCGTGCTGGAGACCAGACCCGGGCCTGGCCTGGCTCTTGCTCTTGCACAGCTTTTTTGCATTTCCCAGCCCCTTGTTCAGCGTGACTATCCCCAGTGTGGGAGTCCCCCGATCCCTCCCGTGTCCCTCAGCACCCTGGCCCTCTCCAGAGAGGAGGGCTCGGGCCCCCGACTCCTTCCTTCTCCCTTCCAACCACCCCCTGCCCCCTCTCCCCTCACTATGTCTGGGTGCTCCCAGCTTTTCCCCACGGAGGTTTCTCTGCCTCCCCTGAGCTGTGCCTGGGGCTGACCCACAGCCCCCGAGGGTCTCGTGCTGCCAGGGCCTGCAGGTCCAGTCACCCTGTGGCAGGGCGGGTTGGGGTTGGCCCAAGCAGGGCACCCCAAGGATGGAGGTCTAGGTGGTGTGAGTGCCGTGGCTCTGCACCTGTCGAGGCCCCACAAGGTGAAAAAACAAACCCCACTTCCTGGGACACAAATCACAGCACGCTTTCCTTCCCTGAGTGCCTGCATGCCCTCCCTGGGGTCTCTGTCCGGCTGACCGCTGTCCGGCAGCCTCTTTTTTTTGCAGAAGAGCTGTGGGCTCACCCCCA